GAGAACCTGAGTTGATCTCAGTTCAGAACACATCATTACCAAAGTCCTTCATGCTCTCTGGGTCTTCGTCCAGGAAGAAGTAGCCACACTTGACAGCGCGGTGGACTTCGAAGCACAGGCCCAGGCAGGCGTCATCGATGAGGTCAGTGTAGATGTCATGAGCTAAGGCCTGGGGCGCAGAGGAGGGAGTGGAAGAAAGTCTCATGTTATGGTCTGCTAGGGGTCCTGCCCATTCAGGTCACAGGGTCTTCTGCTGTCGTGCCCCCAGACTCCATAAAGAGAAATCAGAAGGTCCAACAAAAGACTTTTCACCCAGTTTGGGTGCTTTTAAGTCTAGCCTAAAAAAATAGTTCCAGAGAGTTTTTGGAATTGTTTAATTGTGTGTATCTACTGTGTTTTCCTTGACTTGGAATTCTTTTCAATTTAATTTGGTTGAATGTACTTTTCATGCAGTGCAAAGTGCTTGGTGATTTATCTTTCAAGTCACGACAGAAAATCAAATGTTTTTAATTATTATTACACCAACACCGCTTTTCTACATTGGTCCTACTACAGCATTTTGACTTCTAACCACCCCACACCACTACTAAAAGAGTTACAACTAAGAACAGCCAGTCTTGTAAAAACTTTCAGCTGGTAAAAAGTATGTCAAATCAAGCAAAAGGAAATGTCTCTTTCCCACGGAACAAAATTCTCACCTCCAGCTTGCTGTTGTCCAGGCCTGATAAAGACATTTCCTCCATTTTCATTTGCAAAGATTTAAAGGGGGAGGGAGTGCTGTCTACATAGTACAAATGGTGGACAAATTAGGCTGTGAATGAGAAAAACAAGCAATTGGCTACTAAATCAAGGAAATAAAAGCACAAAAGCATACATGTCAGAAAAAACAGATAACTTACAAGACTAGAGAAGGTTACATAGAATCACAAGTGGAATATCTGCTATATTGGGTGTCTTCCACCAAAAATCAGTGATACACAAACAGCAGTCAGATTGAAATACTGCATGTACTAGAATATAAACACTCACAAATCCTGAAATAGTTCCTAGAATAACAACCATTACATTATAGTTAAAATATTTCAAAGTAATCAGCTATTATACCACTAACATCTTCACATTTTTTAGGTTGATGGATGGGCGTTCCACCAGCTCAAAATGTCAGATTATATGCAGTTCCAGTTCTTCTTTTTATTGTTCCTTGTTTCTCAATCCCGTAGAAAAAGGGAAACTTTTGCGTACATGTACAGTAAATAGAGTTTATTGAAACTGTTTTGTCAACTTCCTCTTTCATTTTGGTGGCATCAAAATGATGTTTTCTTTTTCTTACTGCTCTTTCTCAAGATGCAATTGCTTTCCAAAACTGACATCTATAGGGATCCTGTTCTGTAATATGTTGCTCTGGCCTGTAATAAGTCAGAGCAGGGGTATACTTCCACTACACAGCTCATAAAAGTACAAAACCACACAAAATATTACAACACAACGCCTAAAAAAAGCACTGGTCCTCTCAATTTGAGATACGCCATATATTCCATAAGATTTTAAATTAGTGCAGCCCAGTTCAAACTCACTGTTTAAGCAGGACAGCGAATGAGACAGAACTGCACATTTCATACGCTTTCTCAGCCTTCAACGGGACTGAGATCTGTGGATTGTTCTGGCTAAACAAAGTGAATTAAGTCTGCATCTGGCTTCTGAAGCCAACCATATATTGCATACCTCTTGTGAGTCTATTCATTTGACTGAAGGTTCTTAATAACTTGGACAGCAAGTAAAAATGACCCCAAAGCAGGCACAACAGGACTTACTCCCAACGGACCCACAGTACTTACAAACACGCAGAGCTGTGCCAGGCTGGTGTGCACACTTATTCAAGACGTGCCTTCAGTGGGGAATGATGGCCTTCCTTCTCAAAGACTCTTTCTGCTGAACGGGAAAAAAGAATTCCATAGCTTTATGCTTCGCAATAATGCTGTGCTCTTTCAAATTGCATCATTAATGGTGTAAGTCAAAACGGATGACAATGAAAATGTATTTCTAATGGCATCTTCTCCTTCATATGTATGCATAACTATACAATGGAATTCATACAACTGATAACCTACAGATCTGATCTAATCTTTCTTAGTTTTTATTTTTGAAGTGGGTAATCCACTGTGTATATAATATGTATAATTATATACATAATATGTATTTTCGTGCCACAATTACAATGAATAAAATACCCACTCCAGCTACATTTCAATTTCACTTGAAATTGGCCCAAACGGATTGCAAATAAGAGGTTATTTCCAAGTTTTGACAAATCCCAGGACAAGCTGCTCTAAAATGTCTGACACTTTGCGTTAAGATAGAAATATTTATTTTTCTGGGACCAGACTTGAAAACACAACCTCTTTAGTTTGGTTTCCAAAATACTCTAACTGTAAGCATATTATAGTTAGGAGAATGTTATTTCTTGAGGTCATTTAATTTTGTCACCAGAAGAGTGTTTATAGAGTTCGGTTCATACAATGAACTGCAAGATCGAAATACAGCAAAATGAAACCTGATTGAAACAAGTGAGATAAATAGCCTCAATCTGGGAAAACTTGACTGTGAACAAAACAAGGGATTCCGTTTGTCTGCAAACAAGAAGTCAGTTACATGATAACAGTTTCACACAAAATATATATATTCTAGTATGACAGCTAAAGAGTTACACAACTATATACAGGGGAACTAAATGGATGCCAGAAAAGATTAAGAACACTTTTAGAAATATGGCCAAACAGGAAAATACAGACGTAGCTACACAAAACATAAAACGAGTGTTTCTTTTATTCTTCCAGGAGGCTGAAAGAAAAACATTTACAGGACACTGCAGACAGTACAGGGTGTAGGTGGGGGGGAAAGGGACCCGATGCAATGGATTTCAAAAGGAAAGGCTTCTTTCTTCTTAGCTTGTGTATTTAACTAACATGAGGTCTAAATGAACAGATTTCACTTGACAAGTATGAACAGAGGCCAAATGAGACCCATATAAATTAAAGACAACCAAGAAAACGATCGCCACTCTACTTCAATGTACAGTTTAATAACAAAAGACCCTACTGTGATTATGCTCTTAAAAGAGCAAAGGGCATAAATCTTTAAAGAATGCTACAGTGACGTCTCTAAATTAATGAAAAGATAGGCTGCAGTAATTCTGAACTCAGCTGGAAAAAAAGTTCACGGGTATGTAGCTGCAGGAAAGACCTCCGCCGTACAAATCGGACCAAAACTATTCATTTGAACGGACGGCGTGATTTAGTTGGCCGTATGCGTTACAGTATTTACCAAGATATCCTTG